CATACGCAAAAAAAACATGCACACGCTAGAGTCCTGTGCGCTCTGCCCTCTACCGTGGTATTAGCCGGAAACTATTTTCCTTCAATTCAGCTAGAAGATTCTGGCGGTGATTCTTGCTCGTACACACACAAAAACAAACGCGTACGCTAGAATCGCATTCACTCTGCTGGTGCTACTGTATGTGCTGAAAAACACATTTCTTCAATTCAGCCAGAAATATTTCGGCGGTTATTCTTGTTCATACGCAGAAAAAAAACGCGCGCGCTAGAGCCACATGCGCTCTGCTGTTTACCGCGGTGACAGATGGAAAATATTTTCCTTCTGTTCAACCAGATGATTTTGGCGCTGATTCTTGCTCATACGCAACCCAAGAAACATGCGCACGCTGGGATTCCATGCACTCTGCTATCTGCCGTGGTGTCCGGCAGGAAATACATTCATTCAGCTAGGCCAGAATATTCTGGTGGTGATTCTTCCTCGTACACAAAAAACAGAACACGCGCGCGTTGAAATCTCATGCGCCCTGCCGTCTGCCGTTGCGTCCGCCGGAGGATACTTTCCTTCAGTTTAGCCAAAATTTTCTAGCGTTGATTCTTGCTCGTACGCAAAAAAACCACAGCTTATCCACGGATTGAATGATTATAAGTGGGGCGAAGCGTTCGTCAGCCTGTCCGTGCTTCCGTCCGTCCGTTCAGTCTTCCTTCTGTCCGGCTGCGCGACCAGCCGCGCTGCCATTCATTCGTCCGTCTGTCTGACCGTGCGTCTAATCGTGAGTCTGTCTATTCATCTGTCTGTCTGCCCGTTCGTGCATCTATCCGTCCGTATGCCCGTATGCTAGCCTATCTGTCCGTCCGCCTGTGCGTCCATCTAGTGAACGCTCCAAGAACCACCATCTCCCATCTCGCAGCCCCTGTGGCACAGACCCGCCCAAGAGCAGGTATGTGCCACCTGAGTGTATGTACTTCTACTTACATACAACGGATGAACAGACCGACGCCATAACGAGGTTCGCCCATAAGAAAACACGCGCCCGCAGGAATCCCATGCACTTTGCTGTCTGCCATGGTGTCCGCCGGAAAACACTTTCGTTCAGTTCATCCAGAAGCTTCTTGCGGCGAATGTCGATCGTATGCGAAAAAACATGCGCACGCTAGAGTCCTATGCGCTCTGCTTTCTACCGTGGTGTCCGCCGGAAACTATTTTCCTTCAGTTCAGCAAGAAGATTCAGGCGGTGATTCTTGCTCGTACACTAAAAAAAAAAAAAACACGCCTACGCTATAATCTCACGCGCTCTCCTGGTGCCACAGTATCCGCTGAAAAACACTTTCTTTCAGTTCAGCCACATATATATCGGCGGTTATTTTTGTTCATACGCAGAAGAAAAAAAAAACGTGTACACGATGGAATCTCAGGCGCTATGCTGTCTGAAGCGGTGTCCGCCGGAAATTACTTTCCTTGAGATTTTTCGGTCGTGCGCAGAAAACAAAAAACATGCGATGCTGGAATCTCATGTGCTCTGCATTCTGCCGAGGTGTCCGCGGTAAAATACTTTCTTTCAGCTTAGCCAGAAGATTCTGAAGGTGATTTTAGCTCGTACGCACAAGAAAAGACGCACGCTGGAATTCCATGCTCTCTGTTTTTTTGCCGCGGTCTTCGCCGGGAAATATTTTTTTTTTCAGTTCAGCCAGAAGACTCTGGTGGTGATTCTTGATCATACGCAAAAAAAAAATACATGCACACGCTAAAATCCTATGTGCTCTGCTGTCTACCACGGTGTCCGCCAAAAAATATTTTCCTTCAGTTCAGCCAGAAGACTCTGGTGGTGATTCTTGATCGTACGCAAATAAAAACATGCACACGCTAAAGTCCTATGCGCTCTGCTGTCTACCACGGTGTCCGCCGGAAACTATTTTTTTTCAGTTCAGCCAGAAGATTCTGGCAGTGATTCTTGCTCCTACACATACACAAAAAAACAAGCGTACGCTAGAATATCACGCGCTCTGCTGGTGCCACAGTATCCCCTGAAAAACACTTTCCTTCAGTTCAGCCAGAAGGTTCTGGCGATGATTCTGGCTCATGCACAAAACAACAAAACACGCACACGCTGGAATCTCATGCACTCTGCTGTCTGCCGCGGTGTCCACTTGAAAAGAATTTCTTTCAGTTCAGCCAGAAATATTTTGGTGGTGATACTTGTTCATACGCAGGAAAAAAAAAACGCCCGCACGGTGGAGTCTCATGCGCTCTGCTGTCTGCCGCGGTGTCCGCTGGAAAATACTTTTCTTCAGATTTTTTACTTAGTCGCAAAAAAAACATGGCCACACTGGAATATTTTGTGCTCTGCTGTCAGCGGCAGTGTACGGCGGAAAATACATTCTTCCAGTTGAGCCAAAAGATTGTAGTGGTGGTTCTTGTTCGTATGCAAGAAAAACACCAGCACGGTGGAATCCTATGCGCTCTGCTGTCTGCAGCGATGCCCACCGCAAAATTTTTTCTTCAGTTCTGCCAAACGTTTCTGGCGGTGATTCTTGCTCGTATACAAAACCAAAGCATATCCACGGAGTGAATTATGGTGACTGGGGCGAAGCATCCATCAGCCCGTCTGTGCTTCTATCCATTCGTTCATTCTTGCTTCCGTCCGTCTGTGCGAACATCCGGGCAGCCATTAATACGTCCGTCCGTCTGATGGTGCATCCATTCGTGAGTCCGTGCATCCATCTGTCTGTCTGTTCATGCATACGTCCGTCCATAGGTCCACGCGTCTTCCCATCCGTTCGTCTGTCTGCTAGCCTGTCTGTCTATCCATTGGGTGCGTCTATCTAGTAAGCACTCCAAGAACCATCATCTCTCATCTTGCATCCCCTGTGGCACAGACCCGCCCTAGAGCGGGTATACGTTGCACCGGTGGCTACGTACTAAAGCATGCATACAAGGGATCGACAAACCCACGCCATTAGAAGCTTTGCCCCTAAAAAAACATGCGCACGCTGAAATCCCATGCGCTCTGCTGTGTGCCGCGGTGTGCGCCAGAAAATACTTTCCTTCAGTTCAGCCAGAAGACTCTGGGGGTGATTCTTGCTCACACGCCAAAAAAAAAAAAAAACATGCGCATCCTGGAATCCCATGCGCTCTGCTGTCTGCCACGGTGTCCGCCAAAATATACTTTCCATCAGTTCAACCAGAAGATTCAGGCAGTGTTTTTTGCTCGAATGCAAGAACAAAAAAAAACATGCGCACGCTGGTATTCCATGCGCTCTTCTGTTTCTGGCGTTTATTCGTGCTCGTACAAAAAAAAAAGCTAAGCGCAAACGCTTACACTCACTGGCGGCGTCATTGCGCAGGAGAGAAATCTGAGGAGGCGCGAAGCATGCAACGTTGGACTGATGTTTCCAACTGCAACGTGCCAATCGCTGCTAACAAGAAATGAGATACAGACGACTCCGACTGGACGCAAAGACATGCAGCCCACTTTTAGTTAACGGGCACGCTGCAAATTTTCATTGTTCAATGACGCACAGGAAAATATCTCGCCGGCCCTACATTGGTGGTCAAGATCAAGTGCCCATATGTAGGAAGTGGCTATAGAACGGTTGTCCAGCGTGAGCAGTCAGTTTTTTAGTGAAGAAACTCGCTAGCGGACGCTACCTGCGTCGTCGTTGTTAGACGAAAGAAGTCGGAGAGTAGGAAAGGAGATAGAGGGGAAGGCATGCGCTCGCGCAATGGAGCGCCAACACTACTGGGAGGGATGCGTTCAAGAGACAGAGGGAGATCAAGCGTAGGCTAGAAGTAGTTGCCTTCGTCGGTGTTGAAAAGCGAGAAAGGGGAAGCATATGACAGGAGAGAGAGGTGGAGGAACACGCATGCGCAGTGAGGAGGTCACGCCGCACACTGGATTGAGCTCGACCATAAACAGCTTCGTGTCTGAAGTGTTTTTCTTTGCGTACGTTTCTTCACATTTCTTTTAGCTCTCTTGAAAGTTGACTAACGATCACCTTTTCTTACTCATTCATCACACCTTTTTTTTTCGTATGTATATTGGTTCTGGTAACACGGGGCTTTTAATACTTTTTTAGATGCGAAGCAGCTCTTTTATTGGCCTGTGTAATGCTGTCTCTCGGTACGAACGCGCTGCGCGCCGCAGGTGTTCGCCCGGTGCTAAGCAGGTGACATCACTGTTGTGCGTTGATGTCACGCTCTCTTCGTAGTGAACGCTGAGGTCACTCTGTCTCTCACTTTCCGCACCCTCGCCGTGGCGCCCGCAGCTGCCGCCTTGTTCATTACCCCACAGCACCTGCCACGACCGCCACTCACTATTCTGCCAACTCGTCGGTTCACGCGAAATAAACCTGACTCGTGCCTAACGTGTACGCGTTAAAACATTATTGTACAGTCCACATACAAGACCTACGCAAGCTATCGCTTCAAACGAATCTTCCACCACTTACCACAATATGTAAGCGCCATTCAACCCGTGACCCCAGTCGTGCCCAATGCTGCTGCTTTATCGCATCAGGGTTCCCTTCGGAGAGATGGTCGAAGTCTTTTTTTTCTGCTTAAAATGAAAGTCTTTTCGCAATGAATAATCCCGCTCTTAGGTTTTAACCACCAGTCACTAGCAGTCAATGTGCTATCACCGAAGTCATCCTGCAAAATATTCAGAAAATCAATTAAATTTTCATCTCTCGCCTTCGAATAATCTTTAACCACAATTCTAGTGTCAGTATTAGAGCCCTTTGCAGCCATACGAACACCATCAAATGTAATTAAAACCATCTTATCGTCAGATATGCCATGTTCTATGCTAACTTCAGGAGTCAAAGATGAGGACAGAAAAACACGGTGTAGTACTGAGCACCATTGTTCCTGGAGTCAACTTCGCTGAAGCACAAAGTGAACTAATGAAAAACTGTGCATAATATCCACTAGAATATCAAAACTTCATTTCTTTGTTGTCAGTAAACGAAAAATTCCGTGCCAGTACCGCATTAAAAAACTGAAGACACTCATGACCCTGGCAACTTTATTGACAACAGGGTGGCCCAAGGAGAGCACTTCACAGCGACTGCGTCTTCGGCTACCAGCTGCACGGGCTTGGCACTTTGCGTAATTTCATCTGAGCCAGGGCCTAGCTGTCCATACGCGTTGCTACCCCAGGCCCAAGCCGAGCTGTTGGCTGCAAAAAGAAAGAGTTTGGCTGTGCCAGTTCTTCATGAAGATTATAATACTACTATACCTGCTACAGCAGCTGTGTGCCGTGAGCCCAGGCTCACGGCACACACATCCATGTCAAACAGCAGAGGCAATGCGGACAGTGGCTTCTCCATGGGCTCAGTGGCCAGCTGCCCATCGAGGTTCCAGCCCCAGAGGTACAGGTCACCAGCATCGCTGAGCGCAGCCGAGTGCCATCCACCCGCAGCGGCGCCTGCCAGGACCACGCCGGCGAGTGGCTCAATCAGACGCGGCGACTGCACAGACTCAAGACTGCCATGGCCCAGCTCTCCGTGGCCACCGTTTCCCCAGCTCAGCAGCTCGCCGTTGGCAGTGAGCGCCAGCTGATGGCCGTGGCCGCAGCTCACCTCACGCACCCGGTGTTTCGTCGGCACCGAAGTCATCCTGATATCATCGAGGCGTACCTCATGCATGAAACCACCTGCATTCGGACAAAGTTACAACATATCTGTGAAAGAATTTCATTTGACTTCATGCTTTATATTGGGAGTTTAAAATGTTTACATGACAATTCCTTCAGCCTGGAAGACCAGATAATGTCAGATGAATATAGTACGTGATAGAGGCGCGGAATGCTCTCTTCAGGTAGCCATTTGACCCCTTTCGGAAGGCATAAGCAGACAAAGAGAGTTAGCATTTCAAGAGAATTGTTAGCACTCTCGCGCACTGCATGACTGTATGACTCCACGTTGAAACATGTCATCCACTTGCTCTGTAATGACCCAGAGCTCCTCGACGGCGATGCGGTAAGTACGCTGTTACAGGTGTGGGTGTGAGCCGGTGTCAATGGTGTTACTGATAGTCATGGTGCAGCCTAACAAACGTTGTAGAAAGTCGAAAGAAGAGATAAACTAGTCAAGGAGAGCAACAAGTTGGCGGCAATCAGAGGGGAGAAGGTTTGCGTCAATGGCGTTGTGAAACGCTAAAGAACCTGATGGCTGAGACGCAGGGCTGATTGTGGCAATGTGACATCATGTGGTGTCATCGGGAAGATCAAGATCATCAATGTGGTGTATATATCCTAAAGTTTCACCACGAAGTAGGGCAATACAGTAGTTGCAGTGATTTGTACCAGCATTATGGTTGATCATGGCACAATTGTGAGAGCGGCAAACGAGAGAACGACGCCTTTGCGTTCGGTAAACACTCGAGATGGCGTAAAAACTATAGTGCTGTCAGGTTGAGCAGTAAACAGAAGGGTAATAGAGACGGAAGTTTCCAGAGATAAGTTGATATCGGCATCAACTATGAGCTTATAGAGAAAAAGAGAATGGAAGAAGACAAGAAACACTTCCGAATTAAAACAATCGGTGATAGCGTCATGACGTGAAACAAAATCCAAACCTAGGATGAGGTCATGAGAGCAAGATGGCACAACGAAAACTTCAGCAATATAAGTACATAACATCTTGGATGACGACGCACGCCGTACACACAGCTGAGGAATGAATGCATTGTACGCTAGCCGTTGACAGCACCATGCCACAAAGAGATGTCACTTTTTTAAGTCTTCGACAAAAACCGGCGTTCATCGCAGAATCACAGCCCCGGCATCTACAAGCGCTAGTGCGGCGACTCTCTTACATCGACAGCAATATTGTTTTGCGGCGAAATTGGAGGCCCTGAGAATTGCGAGGAAGTTCCAGTTTTTGCCTATGCAACTGCACTGGTTAGTTTACCTCATGATAGGGTGGTGGACAACGCATTGGCGATGGCAACTGGTTACGAGGAGATGACAAACAAACACTTTGTGAGCGGCGATCTGAATCAGAGTACCTCTGTTCAGATGCAGATGTGGTGGAATGTTCCGGCGCGTAGGTAGGAGTTCCGGAGGAGGCGTAAGCAGGTGTGCGACAACGGCGGCAGACGCGCACATAATGGCCAGAGATGCTACACGCGAAACAGATAGGGCGATTGCCATGGGTGGGCCACGCATCTGATGGACGCAAGAAGCGTGGCGAGGGCTTCTAAATTGGAGGCGAGATGGAACGAGGTGGTGCCGATAAGGAGTCTCGATGCATAGAGGCCGCGCGATCACAGCTTCGTAGCTGATAGCTGGAGCAGACTGTGCAAAACTGGCACTTGGGAGAGGGGACGGCATGGAAGCGCACGAGTAACGGGCTGAAAATGCAGGGAGGGCCTCAACAACTTTCGTGAATATGGCCTGCTGCAGTGTCGGGGACAGGCTTACGGTGTACGCGTCACTATGAAGCAGCAGGGCGAGCTGTCGGGCCACTTTCTCTCTGACAAACCCTTGATATGGTTAGAAAGTGGTCCCTGGCGAACATCACCGTTTGCGACTGCGATGGCCAAGATTGAATCTGGTGGTGGGACACATTACCAGCAACATCTGAAATGTGCAATCCTCGATACCCTTGAGAATGTATCTGATTTCTTCTTCCGGCTTATATGGGTTAACCTTTGCTGCGTTCTGTTCCCCAAGTCAAGTCGGTAAGGGCGAGCTTGAACCACAATGGCGACTGCCGCAGAGGACGGGCTCTGGTACCAGAGGACCATGGGACTCATCGATCGAAGGAATGCGGTGGTTCTTGGCATTTCTGAGAGACCTCGCGAAAAGCCACTGGAGCGGTCGTATCTGCCATGGCGCAGTGCAGAAGCTTCGACTCAATGGCAGAGCCCGTCTCGATGTTGACGACCAAGAAGCGGCTCTGACACCTTGGACCTTCCTGCTAGCAAGCTACAACTTCTTTTGAGAATCCGCTGGGACGAGAGAGAGATGGAGATAAAAAAACGAGGCCAAAGCAGAAGGCAGACAGCAGCGGCCCGAGAAAGTGGGAGTCCGAGTAGCTGCACTGATGGACGTTTTTGCGATGTAAATGAGTTAGTTTTTCTAAGATACTTTCTCGAAGCCATGACTTCACACATACCACCCAATCTTGGTCCACGCAGAACTGAAAAAAAGAAACTGTTTGGCAGCAGTGCGATCAGGAAAAGACATGCGGAAAACTGTGGAAGGAAGAACGACGTATGTGCCTGCGGGAGCAGCAAAGATCTTCTTCGTGGCTCTGGGAGGCACAACCGTCTCTGTAACAGCGTGAAGGCCTGAACGACTTCAGGGAATTTGGAAAAAAGAGCAGCGGAAGGCAGTCCTCATGACCTGGAATCAGCAGACCTGGCAACGTGGCTCAGGCAGACACCACCTTCGCAAGCTCGGGATTGAATGGGAGGAGCAAATTCTGTGAATCCGGAATTATCAGAGCGCCTCTCTGCGACTCCGGGAGGCATAACCATCGCAGAAACAACCTGAAAGCTTGAGGGACCTCAGGAACTTTCGAAAAAAAGAGCGGCAGAAGGCAGATCTGACGATCTGGGATCGGTGGACTTGGCAACGTGGTTCCGGTAGGCACGACCTTCTCAAGCTCAGGGTGGGCTCAGTGGTTGATCGATTACGCTTTACTGGACGATAAGGATAGAGTTCTATTGCGCAATTGTCTCTGAGTTTATCTCTACTGGTGCGTGTTTAGTACTGGTGAAGTAGTAGTGAGCTCTCGTGCAGGCATGAATATCAATATGTTAACGAAAGAAGAGCGGCTGCTGCCAGCAGCAGAGCTCAGTATGGATATCAGTAATAAGTTGAGGAAGCCCGAAATAAGTAGTGCGATAGACGAAGTGGATTATGGGGAGGACGAGCTCACTGAAGTTTGGGAAAAGGTATGTCATGAGAAGAAAGAAAAAAAACAGCAGAGAAGGAAAGAAGAAAGGCAGGCAGCCATTCAGCTCTTCAACATAAATCTAGAGCAGGCGAGATTAGAGCGTCGCATACAGAGAGCGTGAAAATGACGAGTTTGCTTCAGCCGTACTAAACAGCCACTGACATCGGTCTCTACCTGACGAACATTGAACGAATCGACTAACCTATACCTGTCCTTCCTCCTTACTTTTTTCTCCTCCTTGAACGAATCTGTGAGAAACATTCATTTCACCAGGACACATGACCAGAATGGTTGCTTGCATTGCTACCGAGAGAGGCCTCGCAAGTCATAGCCAGATGGAGCACAGCTGAGGCTGGGATGTACAGCTTAGTGAAGTCAACTTTACTCGCAAAATACAAGCTTTACAGAGAGCAAATTTGAAGAAAGTTTCAACTGGAAAGAAAGAAACCCAGTTAAAGCTTATTTAGCTCGACACAGTTTCACTTGGGTACCCAAAGTTTGAAGTGCCCTCTGGGCAACAAAAATGTTTTTGCCAAATATAACACCTCAATATCTACTTCTCCCATTCTCATATACCTGCACGATGTTTTTAATACAATCGGATGTGGTAGAAAATTGACCGGGTACACTTGATATTATTATCATGATCATTAGCCCGACTACGACCACTGAAGGCATCGCCCATGTTCCGCCAGTCAACTCGGCCCTGTGCTTGCTGCTGTATTGACACCGGTAAACTTAATCTCATCTGCCCACCTAACTTTCTGTCTCCCCTAACCCGCTTGCCTTCTCTAGGAATCCAGTTAGTTAACCTTAATGACCAGCGGTTATCCTGTCTACGTGCTACATGCCTGGCCCATGTCCACTTCCCCTTCTTAATTTCAACTATGATCTCCTTAACCCCTGTTTGTTCCCTAATCCACTCTGCTCTCTTCTTGTCTCTTAGAGGGCCAGTGAACAGGCTCCGACTTTTACTTACACCCGCTATACAAGCTTGGCAATTCGTAGATTAGACCGCAGCGATCACGTTTTCTGAATATTACAGCGCTGCGGGCCAGGCAGAGCCTCTATTTCGAAAAACAAATACCGCACATCTTTCCTATGCCTGACCGACCCCATTGCACCCACACTGACATCAACTCAGCGATCGGCGACGTGACGTAGCACGCAGCTCGCCGATTGGTCTGAATCGGGTGTGAAAAAACAGTAGTGAAGTCAACGTCAGTTCCTGTTTCCACCCACAGGTACGAAACTGCACCTTGTTTCTTGGCACTTCGGTGAAAGAACCAGCCTCGCAGTTGTCGCGTGCACGTGTACATTGCTCGCTCAACTACAGCGCCTGTGAGCACGTACGAACGAATTTCGCCCTTAACATGAGCAACACGGGTAAAACGTATTGCTATGTCATCAGCTGCAAATCGAGCGACTGGGCAGCGGAGAAGCATCGCCACCGGGTGCTTCACAATGGGGTTCTGCGCGCAGCATGGCTGACGCGAATTGGCCATCCAGGGACGTACGTCAGGAACCTGATCGTTTTTGGTCGACTATTCGCACCTGACGCTTATACGGTTGACCCGCGGCTGGTGCGGCAAACGGTAAACAAACAAGCATGCTTCGCAGCAAGCGGAAGTGTGTTGGGACTGATCAAGTTTGCCGATGACATCAATTGTCACATTGCTGAAGTGACTGGAGTCACGAAAACGGGCTATGCCTTCCCCTTCATGGAAAGGCGAAAGGGGGCAAGGCC